TATATGAAAGAGACAAATAAGTCAGATAAGAAGATAATTCATAAAACATTTTCTTATATATAGTTTGTTAAGGTGATCTTTTTTAAAGGCCACCATACCTTTTTAAGGCTTTGTAAGCCCTCTGTTAATCTTTTCTCAGCCTTCCAATTTTTTCTGTTTGTTTATTTTGATACCAGAGAAGGGGCCAAACATGCGAAGTTGTCTATAACTGATCTAATGAAAGATGCTGTAGAAACTTCTTTTTTTTTTCCCGAGTGTATATGTGTCTATGTGTGGGCAAGTGCACGCTGAGAATTAAGCCCAAGGCCTCATGCTTGCTAAGTATATGCTCTACTACTGTATATGCTCTGGCACTGTTTCTTTACAGATATTACAGAAGTAAATCTTCATGGGAATGCAAGCACTAGCCCACAAGTATCTGTTCTAATAGTTGAGAAAATGATTATTGTTGACATGATCTATTTTTTTATTTTTATATTGTTAGTTTTTACTATTTGGGTTTCCAATTTTATCTAGTTTTTGCTCCTAGGTTCTTTTGTGTTATTGCTATTTCCCTGATATATTTGATAAAATGTTTTATACATTGTTTCTCAGACTTTCATTTGCTTAGGGTGAGAGAATCCGTCAGTCTCTAGTCTGCTACTCTGCTGGGTGTGAAAGTCCCATATGCTTTTCAAAGAGTTTGAACTTCATTGTTTTGTAAAACATTAACCTGAATTGGAAAGACCAGGATCCTAACTTTGGTAGTCTAAACTCTCTGGTGGTCTAAGCAACATCCCTTCCTTTTTATCTCTTATAGGCTATAAGCCTTTTGGGTAGTGCCACTCACATGCAGGACAAGTAAATATAAAAATAGCTTCTTTTTAACCTGTGTCATTAGTTTTTGTAAAGGACTCTGTTATGGTTTATATCTGGATGTCCTTCCTCAAGGTCCCACGCACTCATAGGAAGGGTTTTTGGGAGATGATTGAGTTATAGGGGTGTGATATTCATCAGTGGATTTGTCCACTGATGAGTTTATAGCTAAGTGTGAAGTTGGAAGGTAAAGACTAGTTGGAAGAGGTAGGTCACTGGGGCATGGCCTGGAAGGGTCAGTTGCTCCCCTTGTTCCTTGATCTCTATCTCTGTCTCTGTCTCTCCCCTCTTTTCTCTCTCTCTCTGCTTCCCACTCCCATGGTACGAAGTGCTTCTCTTTCATGCCATCCTGGCATGGAGCCAGCTAACTGTGAGCTAAAACTTATACAAATTAGAAGCTTGTATCAAAATAGATCTTTGTTCCTTAGAGTTATGTGTGTCGGATATTGTCACCCACTGTTGAGGCAAGTAACTAAGACAGATTTTGGTCTTAGTTACTATGACAGAGAAGCAGGGTCATTACTGTGACTACCTGATCATTTGGTTCACAACCTTTTAGAACCAGTTAATGGGAGGAGTTTGGAAAGCTTTGAAGACGTTGCCTGGAGAATTAGCCCTAGAATTGTGTAAGCTTAACGGCAGATTCTGTGCAGAGCTTAGAAGACCAGAACACTGACAAAAAAGGCAGTTAGAAAAGGCAGACTCAGGAGGTTCCACTTGGGAAAAAGGACTCCATTGCTCGTTGGATGCCAGGGCATGTCTGTTGTGCTTTAGTAGAACATTTGTTCCTATCCTGAGATTTAAGGGAGACTAAGATTAAACCCAGCAGACTAATTAATCTGTTTGAGGACATTTCAAGGCAGTCTAATGTTGTGGCTGTGGCAAGAGTACTACTGAGGGCTTTTAGCCAACTCTGTGTTGAGATTGAGGAGCAAAAGGCAAAGTAGAATGATTTAAGAATTTTTTAGTTTGGCCAGAAAAGAAGCTCCTGTAAAGTTGAGGTCTGCAAAGATGGAGCAGAAGAGAGCTTGACTGCTAAAAGGATGGGCATCCTTTTAGCATCCTTTTAGTACTTGGAGCCCTGTGCAGCCTTGATACAAAAGGGTTTAGCTCTAGCTGGTGGCAGACCTTGGTGCCTTCTACATGGTACTGATTATTTATACATGTAGAATACAAGAGTTGTGGGGTTGGTTCTTACCTTTCTTGTTGCTGGGACAAAATACCTGACACAAGTTAAAGGACGAAAGGTCTATTTTAGTTCACAGCTTGTAGAGGTTTTGGCCTATACGTGACTGACTCAGGCAGGGAGGCATGGCAGAGGGGCATGGCCGAGTTGTCCATGGAAAGGAAGGCAGCAAGCAGCAACATCCCTTCCCTTTTATCTCTTGTAGATTATAAGCCTTTTGAGTGGTGCCACCCACACTCAGGATGGGCACTCCCATTATCCACACCCAGAACTATGATACATCAATAAGTGGACTAGTTTGGTTATCATACAACGTAATCCATATGCATGCACCCTAGATCTGGCCACCTCTGAAAAGCCCCATCTATGAGAGAATGTGGCTTGAAGTAGGGAGCATCTCGATATAAACCATGACAGTCAGGGAGGCTTCCACACAGATTTCAGAAGGCCTGGGAGGTCAGGCAGTGTACTCACAAGTAGATAGTGTGTGACGCAGAAAGCATGAAGCCAAAACCACCTCACACATACCAGCTTGTTGGAAAAGCCAGGAACATGAATGTCTGAGAAGGACAAGGAGTGAGCAAAGCTGGCCTAAGAGGCAATTCATGAGGGCTATAATGACCACCAGCAGTGCTGGGGGGCGGGTAGCAGGATCATATAGGCTCTCTGGAGTTCACATCTCACCACACGTTGCCTATGGTGCTAGACATGGAATTATGAGATTTAATGTTTGCCCTGCAGGATTTAGATTTTGCTTTGATCACATTCTTTTCTCTTCCATTTCTCCCTTTTAGAATGAGAATATTTACCCAGTGCCTTTGTACATTGGCAATGCTTAACATTCTTTTCATTTTTACAGGACCTCACAGCTAAGAGTTTGCCTTAAATTTCAGACTTCGGATTCAGACTTTTTAGCAGTGCTGAAACTGTTAAGACTTTGGCCCCACTTATAAATGGACTAAATGCATTTTTCACAAAGAGATATACCTGAGTCTTTCACAGGCTGGGTTGGAATGTAATGGTTTATAAGTAGGTGTCCCCCTAAAGGCTCAGAGTGGGCTTTTGGGAAGTTACTGGATCATGAGGGTGTGGTACTTATGAGTGGATCAGTCCATTGATGAGTTTATAGCTGAATGTGATATTGGGAGGTGAAGTTTGGTTGGAAGGTGTAAGTCACTGGGGGTGTGACCTAGAAGGGACCATCTCCTTCCCTCCTCCCTGCCATAAACTAGCCTCCCCTGTCATGCCCCTCTGCCATCTGCCCTGCCTTGCAGATGACTATGGACTGAAACCTCTACAAATTGGGAGCCAAAATAAACCTTTTCTCCTTAGAGTTGTGGGTGTTGGGTATTTTGCCCGGCAACAAGGGAAGTAACTAAGACCAATTTAAAATAATGCAGAGTCTGTCTGAAACTAGAGAGCAGCATGCAAATATACAGATTTTCTTAACTGTGAAAATAAAATAGTGGCAAACAAGCAATGAAAGTTAAAACTAAAGGCAACAGGGGCTGGAGGTTTAGCTCAGCGGCATAAACGCCTACCTTGCAAGCAGGCAGTCGTGAGTTCGATCCCGGTACCGATAAAAAGGAAAAAAACCAAACCAAACAAAACAAAAAAACTAAAGGCAACAACCTTAGAATGACTTGATCAATTTAAAATATCATTGTATTTATCTTCTTTGTCTTCTGGCCCCAAATATGAATGGGAAAATCTTCAAATTATAAAATTCATTATTATTTTATACATTGTATTTGATACTACTTATATGATCTTTTTTAATGATGGAGAAAGAAGGAAAACTTGAGTACTTCATAAAATTGATAATGTTTTTAAATTTGTGGCTGTCCCTTTGATATATGGATAAGCAATCTAACTTAAGATGTTTACATTTTATGTACTTTACAGGCTGAGACCCTGAGTGTCTAACATACTGTAATATATCTTTGTCTCTGTGTTACAAGGCTGAGGTATTATTATAGGTAACTACCTATTACTATAGCTACCTATAATAACTACCTATTACTATAGTTACCTATAATAATACCTTCTCATTCTCAAACTGTATTAGTAATATAGTGGGATGGGTAGAATACAGTGTGTGGGGGAAGCAACAGAGAAAAGTTCATAATGGGATTCATGCCTGGAAGGATAAGCAGGAATTAGCTAGCTCAAGAAAAGGCAAGGCACCAGAATATAACCTTGAAAAAGAAAACAGTATAAAGATAGACATGTGTGAGAGTATGGCAGGACTACTTTGTGGAGCCCACAAAGTTTGCAGTGTATTTATTTATTCCTTTGCTATTAACACACTTGTCTCCCTATGTTTTATGGCTTGTGTCTAGATGCCCCCACAAGGCCTCATGCAGTCATAGGAAGGGTTTTATCAGAGGAGGCTCAGTCTAGAGTGTGTGATTGATTTAAGGTACAATGCTAGGATTAAGGGTGGGTGATTACTAGGTCAGTCAGCTGATTGGTTTAGCATTGCTCTAATCCCAGTAGCCTGGATACAATATAAGGGAGAGAGAGATCGAGGATTGTCTTATCCTTGCTTGTTGCTTTGCTATCTTCTGCCTGCCGTGAACTGTTTCTCCTCTCCAATGCCTGTCTGCCATGCCACTCTGCCTTGGAGCTAGCCAATTATGGACTGAAACCTCTACAAATTGAGCTAAAACTTTCCCCCTTTAACTTTAGGTGTTGGGTATTTTGTCACAGCAATGAGAGAAAAGTAACTAAGACTCTATGGTGAGGTGAGGTGGTGAGGACTATTAGTAATGGTTTTTCTGTCTCCATGTCTTATAAGGCATCATAGCTGCTACTCTGCAAAAAATGATAAATAAACAAACAAATGACGATTATACTTTAGTGGGCCATGAGACAAGATAACTTTAGAATTATCTGTGTTGGAACGGACAAGACATAATAATAACTAGGAAATGGAATAAAAACATAAAACATTAGATGGAATAAAACCGAATTTTTAGTTTTCTGTTGGATTGTAGGGGGATGTTAACAGTAATTAATAATAATAGCTGGTCTTGTACATTTTTTACATATATTAAGCCACCTAAACTCTCAACAATTCAATGTGGTAGATATTCTTACTTGACCCACTTACAAATGAGGAAACTGAGATGAAAGTTTAAACTTGCCCAGGGTCACAACAGATGGTAGATGGCAGGCTCAAACCTACGAATTCTGATTCCTATCAGAATTCTGTAACTTACTTTTCTTTATCTTCTGTAAGATGAGCTCAATGCATAGAATAATGGTCCTTTTCAATGTGTATCACATAAATTGCAGCTCTCTCAGTAAACTTAGAGACAGAATGTGATTGCTTATCTTTTCTCGGGTTTTTAGATGCTTGGTTGTCTGTAATTTCACTTTTCGTATGGGTAGGTCTTAAAGTGGAGTGGAAGTTCGATGGAATCGCTCACGGAAAAGGTGGGAGAAGGCAGGCACACAGAGTACGTTCTGGAACGCAGGCCGCTGCAGAACGGCGGGATCTGGGTTCTGTCCGGCTGTCCTTCCCGTCGCGCTCAACACGCGCCTCATGAGGTGTGAACTGTGCGGGCGCCGAGTCTCAGCGGGGTAGAACCAGCTCTCAACTCAGCGAACTTCTGACTGCCGGCAAGCCCAAGGCGCTGGAAGGTATCTCGAGGCGACAGTTAGGACCTAGGAAACACTGCTCTCGGCAGCCGCCGGCGGTTCCCAGGGAAACCGCCCTCTGAGACACCTGCGGCGCGGGACAAGCCCCGCCTGGCGCCAGGGGGCGCGGAAGCGCGTCGGCCTCGGCGTCCCACTGGCGCCTTGGCCCCGCCCCCAGCCTTCTCCTCCCCGCCCACACTCCCGCCCCTCCTCCGCCCACAGCTCCGCCTTCTCTCAAAGACCTGCGGCTCCGGGCGGCCAGCCCCGCTTCCGGCGCAGGCGCAGTCCCTCTCTCCTTCGGCGGCGGCTCTCGGCGCAGGGGGCCCGCCGCCGAGTAAGAGGAGTCGGTCCGTGGTCTTCTGGCTCTCGTTGCCTCTGGACGCGCTCTGTGCTGTTGTGTGAGCGCCCCGAGTACGGGCGGCTGCCGCGGCGGGTTAGTCAGGTGAGTGCGGCCGCCGAGGGAGAGGCCCGGGGCGTGGAGCACCGCCCCCCTCGGCGCCGCGCGCCCGCCTCCCGCCTGCTGGCCGCGGCAGGTGCAGGTGCGGGCGGCGGGCCGGGCCGGGCTGGCGAACGTCTCCCTGCTGGGCGCGCGGGCTGCGGGGCACTCGCGACGGTCGGGGCACCCTGTGGGTCGGCGGTGGGCGTCGGGCGGCGGCTCCCCAGCGCTCTCCGGGCCCGGGCGCCTAAGTGGGTGCTGCGCGGTGTCGGGCTGCGGGCGAGCGCGGCCGAGCCCCGGGGCTTAGGGTCGCGGAGGGGTAAAGAGTTGCCGAACTCGTCGGGAGCCGGACGGCGCGCGGCAGCTGAACGAAGCGGTATCTGTGCCGAGGGAGTCTTAGTAAACGTCGTGCGAGGCACCGAGCCGAGCAATAGAGGTCACCCTCTTGAGGTTTCGGTGAAACCTGGAAGGAACGAGCAGGCGCCGGGAGTGGCGCCTCAGGCGGCAGCTCAGTCCTGCGTGGCTTGCGTGTGGCGGAGATGACAGTGCCCTCCTGGCGTTGACAGCTCGCCCCGCCGCCCGCCGAAGAGCCACCTTCAGGGCTGGACAAGGGATGAGGCCAGGTGGAATCTGCAGCACGTGAAGAGCTGCCAGGTGTTACGGGATTTAAACAAAAATGAACAAAACTGTAATGGCCAGAGGGTAAGATCTTGAAAAGTAGGAGCGCCGAGTTAATCAGGCAGTTTAGTTTCACGGGGCTGTTGCCCATTCCAACAGTACCTGTTATACATCTTAGTTTCCCCGCAATTGTTTCCTTTCAGTGTCTAGGAAAAGCCATGTAATCTTTTGCTGTGGAATGATTGAGGAGATACTGATAAGAGGATCAAAACAAAGCTATTATAAATCTATTGAAAGACCCAGTTTCTGTGTTTTGCCCTTATTTTGTTGTTTAAACAGGTTTTTAAAAAATGGTAAATTGATAAGTCAAGGGGAAAATAGGCAGAATACTTTGTAGATCTTCATAGTAAATATTTGATACTGTTAAATATTTCACCAGTTTTATGGTGCGTTCTGTTAACATCTGTTATTTATTTACCAGTACTGTGCATTTTGAGAGGACTTTTCGTATTTGGACATTCTATTCAGAATCTGGCTTATGTGAGGCAATCCTAAAGCCTTTGTGGAATTTATAAAAATAAAACTTAACAGTTACACAATTTTACAGCAACAGTGTATTTATTATTGTTAGAAGAAAAGTTTAATTTTTTTCTCTTGCCAGCATAATAATGTTATATATTAATGCATACTTCTGTGAAATGTTCCACGTAACTTCCTTGTGTCTGTTCCAAAGTAACTTCTGTGGTATGGAGTACATCCATTTTTCCACAAGGATGGCTATTTGATGTTTAGCAGCTTTGTTTCTAATTAGGTTTTTAATTAGATCCATTTACATTTTTTGAATTACAGTAGTATAGTTATGCATATTCTCCCTTTAATATGCTTTACCTTTGATTTTCTGTACATCGTGAATCTCTCCCTGTGCACACAATGACACTCTACAAGTAATTTTTTTAAATTGAGAGTTTGTAAAAATAGCTCGCTCCTTATTTTTTAGTATGACAGAACAAAAACTTGTAAGTTACATTAATTTTACACTGTGGTTAGTACGCATTTCCTTCTTAAGCAGTTCTCACTGAATAAATTAGTAAACTGAATTAATGAATCATTTTACATTTAGTGCCATCACTTACTAGGCATATATGACTTTTAAGTGCTTCTCTGAGCTTATTGTCTACATTTGTACATGAAATAGTACTTGGTAGAAACACCTGAAATTGCCTATATTTGGCTGTTTTTCATGTCTTCGCCTAATAATGGGTTTCATAATGATGGGGTGAGAATTTAATGAGGTATACCATGTGAAATGTGGGGGAGGGAAGAAGGAACAGGCATTAGCTTGACAGTATGTCCTGCCCTGTGCTTATTGTTTTAAGGGTACCTTGACTCTAGTCCTCTGGACATTCCTTGGATGTAGGTAGTTTATCAAATTTTACAAATGAGGAAATTGAGGTATAGAGAATTGAAATAACTTGACAGTAGTTTTTTAGTTTACTACTTTTGGTCACATACTGTGGCTGGTTAATGGCAGTGTCAGGATTAAAAACTATATATGTGACTGTGCCCACTGGAACTCTTAATACTTGATCTTTATATTACTGATCTACACATCCTGAAAAAGAGCTTAGTACTTATAAGGAAGAATACAGATGAAAAGTGGTGTTACTTATTTGTGTTTCTGGGTAAAAATATTCAAAGTATCTCATGACAGTGATACTATCACTGCTACTTCTGTAATTGAGCCTGCTGCTTCTCATGTGCCAATTCCTGTTCTGAGCACTATAGAAACTCACTATCACAAGCTGAGAAATAGGTCATATTTTATACTATGTTATAATCGAGAAAATTGAGACATAGAAAGGTTATATAGCTTGCCCAAGGTCATAATTAAGTGATAGGCCTATGTGAGAAATCAGGCAGTTGTCTTTGGTACCAGTTCTTTTAACCGCAGCATTTCCATTGCTCTATAAATTATACTGCTGAAGAATTCTTGGCTCTTCATCACTATCTATTCAAATGTAGGTGGTAATACTGAAGAATTGTTTTTAATTTAGCTTTTTTGAGATAATATTAGTATAATATTTAATTCTCTTGTCAACAGAAGATTTTAAAATTAAATATTCATTGAATATCTACTCTGCAAGTCTGGATGTTAAAGGAAAATACTCATAAAACATCTGGGAAGTAGGGATATATAATACATGTTTCTTTCTTCTTTTTTGTGGCACCAGGGATTGAATCCAGAGCCTTTGCACTAAGCTACATCCTCAGCCTTTATTTATTTTTGATTTTGAGTCAGGGCCTCACCGTGTCACCCAACCTGGGCTCAGACTTGTTCTCTTCCTGCTCTGCCTCCCAGTGTGCTGGAATTACAGGTATGTGCCACCATGCCTGGCTTCCAGTGCCTTATGTGTGTTCCTCAAAACCTTGCATAAATTTATCTTTGAAATTTTTTTAGTGCATGTTTGCGTATGTGATGGTTGCACTTATTGTGGGGAGTTGGTACCAATATATAACACAAATCTTAATTCTTTTTACTCCTCCTTCGCCTCTCCTCCCACTCCTTCCTCCACTTTGTGAGCATTTTAGTGAGTGCCAGAGGAAGCAAAGAGCTACAACTGTAGCAAAGAGCTGCAGTTGTTGAGTAGTGGAGAGGAAGGAAGAATGAAGAGTAGGTAGGGATGTTTATGCATTGAGATAATGGAACATTTTAAAGATATTCTGAGAGTATGGTTTTTCAAACCAAACTTTTATCCAGTATAATTCTGGTTATAATACAATTCAGCCAAGATCAGTAAAATTGATTACTGTAGTTTTACTAAATTTTTGTATAAAATACAAAAATTTAAAAACTCTTTACATGTTTCTCAAAAGTGACAGTTAAATTTTATTGTTGAATATACAAAATAAGACTTGCATTAACATGTAGGAAATTTTTATAATTATTTCAAAGGTTTGTAATTAAATACAATAAAATGTTAGTAAATTCAGAACATTTTCTGAAAATCCTGAACAGAAAAATTTTCAGTAACTAATATATCTGAAAATGACAGATTGCTTATTCAAGTGGAATTAGTAAGTGGAGATTAATATATGGGCTGTTTTAATAAAAGTAGGAAGATTGTGCAGGTTGACCACTTGACTGACTTTCTTGGATTACTAATTAAATTCATACTTGTAAGCATAGAATACTTCTTCAAATGTAAATATGAGTTTTTCTTATAACTAAAGTGTTAAGTTTGGAAGGCCAACTTTAATATTATAGTAGAAATTAATTAGAAAATGATTTCGTATATTTTTATTTTCTCATTTTTCATGTAATATTTTTGGAGAGTATTCTAATTATGGAAAATTTAAACATGCAACAGTAGTTGAACCTCAAAATCCCATTATCTTGCCCAAAGATCATCAATAAAAGTTGGTTTTATCCCATCTACTTACTCTCCCTCCTTAATGTTCTGAAGCAAATCATAAGTGTTGTAATTTCATCTTTAAATATTTCAGTGAATTTCAAAAAGATAATACAAACCTTAAAAACACACTAATGTCTTAATATCAAATATACTATTCATACTTCTAAAATTTAAAGTTTTAATTGACACAAATATAAATATCTGTGGGATACAGTAATAATATGTGTATACAGGGTATTTGGTATATCCAGCACCTCAGATGTTTATTACTGTATTTTTTTATTTGGATACATGCAAGTTATACTATTTGAAATACATATAATTGTTGTCAATGAATGTTATTTCCCTGTGCTGTAGAACATTAGAAATTCTTCCTGATATGTGTTATACTGGATAAGTGTCTTTTCTCCAATCTCATCCAAACCATCCCGGCCTATGAATATTTCCCATGCCTCCTTCCCAGCCATTTCTATTTCCATATTTGTTCATTCTTTCCATTGTTAGTTTATTGCCAGTGCATGAACTCAGCACGATGGCACTGTGATTCCATCCCTCTGGTAGGCTGAAGCTGGAGGATCACAAATTCAAGTGTAGCCTGGGAAATTTAGGAACTTAGTGAGGACCTGTCTCAAAATAAAAGGTTTGGGGATGTAGCCGAAGGCAAAGATTCTGCCCTCAATTCCCAGTACTGTGAGCCCTGAAAACAAAACAAAAAATGAACCTTGACATTAGATCAGACCTTCATAATCTTTGAATAGCGTGTTGCAGTAACTTTTTAACTGATTGCTGCAAGTTTCTGCTCTCAAGTCTTCACTGCTTTGGGATTCATTTTTCTAAGGACTATACTACATTTATACTTTGCAAGATGAAACACTCACCATCTCTTCAGGATAAATCCAAGCAACCTTTCCATGTTAATTGAGACTTTTAGTAGTCTGTCACCTA